TTGTACAAGAACGCTTCTAACTTGCATGATAAATATATAGAGGAGTCTCTGAGCCAAAAGAAAAAGCAAGACAACCCAGTTGACCTCTATAAAAACCATTACTATGCGTCTACTTCAGCTCCAACTCTAGCACACTTCTATTTTTTTTCATTGGTAAGGTTGGTCCAAATGATTGTCAATTATTATAATTATTATTTGCATTGTTTTCTTTATATTAATAACTTATCAGCTTTTTATCAGTAGTATTAGTCATAATTAAACTATAATTAGGACAGGACTAGACAATTCCAGACTGAGGACTGAGAATTATTCGGTTCTCAGTCTTTTATTATCTGGTCCTGGTCTTTACAAAGACTGATCCATCCCTAGTGAAAAGTCCTTAAACAGGACTTTTTTATTATCTCTATTAATATTAAAGTTTTATAGCTATATAAATATGTATAATACGTTGGTATAACAAAAGAACCAATAACAAAATACATCATTTAGTGATTAACAAAAAGGTCCACTTTTCACCCACCTGCTATCATATGAAATAATGTTTAAAACTAATTTATGCTTATTACTTGTAGATGTATTAATAATATCTTCAATATTATAATTGTATTCAATAGAAAGCATTAAAGATTTCGAAGATCATATCTTTGCTATAATGTTAAATGCGAATATTCTATTAAACATAATAGCAATGATATAGACAATCTATAATAATATTGGAGGTCTATAATAATATCGGCAGTCGATAATAATATAGGCAGCCATAATAATGTTGAGTCTATAACAATATCGGCAACCAAAAATAATTTAGGCACATAGCATTTTAAAATGCCTTGTCAAAAAATATTAAAAAAATTTCACCATGCCATCTGTCATAAATCACCCATAATTTAGACACCATGTATAGCTAGAGGATGGAATAATATTCATGTGATCTGTGATTATGCAGCTTCGTTTAAACTCCCAGGAATAGAAAATGGTATTGGAAAATTGATTGGTAAGTTTATTATTCATCCGACTGAACTATGTTGTTTCCGAAAATATTTTGGCTTTTCCATGCCGAAACCAAAATCGAAAATACAGAAAATGCCAAAAAAGTCAATATGTGTATAGGATAGATTTCGATCAAATATCTATCATTTTCTCGTATTACATTTCACCCAAACTTTTGGGGAAATAAATATTATTTTGTTGTTATGTTGCCATAAATGGCCATATAGACGACCTGGTGTGACAAATAATGTAGATTTATTTTAAAATATTATTTATACATCATGTGATACGTAATACACATGATTTAAAATTTTTCAATTGTAAAAAATTGCATCACCATTTACGGTACTCATTTATGCCAAAATATCACAGGAAAAACGTCACATGGTCATATATAACTGCATCAATATTGGGCATACGACAAATAACTTTTCATCTGAGTTTAATGTCACTCACGTGATGTGTAGCAGCACATGGGGTGATATTAAACTCCGACAAAAAAGTTTCCTATTATCTTTTCATCGTCTACCCAATATTGTATACATAAATACAATTGCCGTTTCTCTATTTATACCTTTAAAATTAACCTTTGCTCTTCCATTTTTTTATATACGATTTATTCAAGTATTATTGGATTTCATTTCAACTGTTCACTTTTTTTTTTATTTTGTCCTTTGTAAGATGACACCTGAAGAATTTAGCCGTGAAATCATTCTTTTAATGGAAAATAGTCTTTCAATTTCTCCTCAAGGGGTCGATTCTAATGACTTAGCTCAAAGGTTTAGGGATAAAAATATAAAGCCTACCATAGAAAATGTGTATATGCTTACTATTAAATCCAGAGTAAAGAAACTTGGCGATTTTAATGACTCCGTTGTTGCTCGGTATGGTGAACTCTTATGGTTTACGTTTTCTGAAGAGGAAGAAAATAAAATTAAGATGCAATACCAAGCCATTGTAGATCAAATTATTACAATTTTGACATCATATTCATCAATGTCTATGCTAACCACTTATACCACTTCAACCACTGAGCAACCGGGGGAAGACATATTTAATGACGGTACTAGTTATACCTCACAAATTTCACAAATTTCACAAACAAGCTTTAACGGGCAAGGTATCGATTTTATAGATGGAATCCTTCCTTAAATTAATTTGCAAAGTGTTTATAATATGATAATCAAAAAAAAGAAAAAAAAATTATATGGTGTTTAAACTAAATTATGTATTTTGTAATTAAGTTTTTATATAGATTATTTTTTAAGTTAAGAATTATCTTGTAAGTACATATATAAAAAATTATTATGTTATATAATTAGATTTGAAACTATAAGGATAAATAATTTTTTTAGGCTATTTAATATAAAATTGGTAAGATCTATAGTTGATTATAAATTTATTAGTTGAAAATTTTAACAAATATCTAAATAAAACAATATTCTATAAACTTTATTAGCGTTAAGAAATTTTTTAAATAATTTAAAACCTTTTGAATAATAAAAATTTTTGTTATAAAATTTTATATGATTTAGAGTTTAGATAATAAAAATTTTTACGCTTAATAACTTACAAGTCAAATTTTTATAAGTAAATTACAAATATAATAATAGAAGTTGTTATTTATTTATATAACATTTTATAAAGTAGAGTTAGGACAAATTTCCCTAGGCATGCCCGGCATGTCTTCAATTCAAAGGCATATCCTTATGGCTAATCACATGATATAATGACGCTATTATATAATAAAATTTTTTTTGATAATTTTAAGATAATTGATCAAAGTTCAAACTTATACTATTTTTTTTTTATTATTATAAGCGTATATTTCTTCAACATGTACAGTACTTATGGAGAGTTGACTTGTATGTATTTAAAATTTAAAAAAAATTTTATAGTTATCGATTGTAATGCAAATATTGCTTAAGAATTTCTTCTAGAAAAATTAGTCAAATATTATGATTTCGTTTATGATTTTATCAAAAAGCTTTCAAATAATTGATTTCAAAATGGTGCAATAGTTTTTGGTAAAGAAAAAAATATTTAAATAAGTATATTTTTGGAGAAAATGCATCTTATTAAATGAGATTATCTATCCAACTATATATATCGATGTACTAATTTTCAATATTTGTATCAATTGTACAAAGAATTTTCTCACATGAACATATAGGTTAACTTTTCATTTTAACGTTAAGCTTTTCACGGGTAATTGAGACTATGGTATTTCAACATGAATTCTGAGATCTCTCGGTTATAGTTCAGCATAGCGCGAGATGTAGATATTGATTATGGTTGAAACTTGACAAAATTATCAAATATACGTATATTTTTTGAATAATGTTACCCACTATACTGTATTTAAATGAATATTATTTTGACTTGTAAGCTTATTTACATAATAACAATCGTTAATTTTCTTTCGAAACTTGATACCTTTTCATATATGTATATTTTAAAATGACTTATATTTCTGATCGACAATTACATACTAAAAACATAAATAGTATTTTAGATGTACTAATAGGAGAATATTCTAATAGTGCTCATAAAAATACAGCTAATATTCTCGAAAAATAAATTGATGAACTGTTGGAACCATTGCAAACAATTGAATTAGATCGATATCTTACTACTCATGAAAAAACCATCAAGTTTTATGATATTTTCTCAAGTTGTTTTCTTTAGTGGTTTGTTTTAAAGTTTTTTTGGGAGCCATATTAAATATTAATAATTCGAAAATATGTAATATTACTTAAAAAATTTTAAGTGATAATTTGTAGTTCTTTATTAATTTATTACGACAGTATCATATAATAACAATACATCATCAAAAAAAAAGGGCTACCCACTTATTTATTTTCGTAATGAGAACTATTATGCAAAAATAAATGCTATAAATTGAATATTATCAAAATGTATTAATTAAATCAATATAACTTTATTCTCATTAAGTCAGCATAATTTTACCTCAATGAATCAATATGAACGAGATAGAATTAAAAAGTGTATTTATAATATTAAATTTCTGAATTTTAGTCAGATTATTCAATTTCATTTATTAATGAATGATTTAAGATAGTGTAAATGTTCTGCGTCAATTTTCAATTACGTTGTTTTGAATTGACATATGCTATTCGTAAATTTAATGAGAGTAACGTACGTACGTTATTTCACGATTGGTGAAAATTTATCAAAAAGTACCAATTTATATATACACTTTTGCATAAATGTTTTTTGATCACATGTTGCGTAAAAAATATCTCATACATACAGTAGTAAATTTGTTGAGTAGAAAAAACGGTTGCTTCATTCAATGAATTGCCAAATTATTGATTATTACTGGATTGTATTAGATAAAAATTAAAATTACTTATATTTACTTTAATATTGTTTATAAATTACTTATTCTTCAGTAAAGTTCTTTCCTTGAGGATTGTCGTTTTGTTTAAAAAAAAACTTTGGAAGCAATAAGACAAATTGGAGACTTTATTGAAAGCTCCACATACTTTATATCCCATATTACATCTTTGTTCGACCCTTGTTGCAGGATATAACAGTATCATACAGTATACGAATTTTTTAAATTTTATCTTGACTGACGTGTCCATATGCTTGGTTGGTGCGCGTTACAAATTAGTTCATAGAAACTTTCGACTAGACAATTGTATCTATAAAATTTCCGATTTGCTAATTAAATGTGGCTATTCGGCATACCAAAATAAAAAGACTTAGATATTTAAAGCATTCGTAAATTTTCTTTTTCAACGAAAATTTTCACATATGTTTCATCAATCGTCCTGTACTTTGAATGTTATCTATTTTTCTCTATTTTTCTCTTGCAATAATAGAAATAATGTAATTTTTAAAAGTTTTAGTTCGTTCATTATAAAAAGGCGCCATTATAAAAAAGTTGACCGTACTTAATATGCAAGTATAGTATATTACAGTAATTTCGGAAGTATATAAGGTTAACAAAGCTTATAAAATTTTGAGATTTATTATCATACTTTTAAAGTCAATATTTTTCTTATACATTATATTAAGAACATTGACGTTTTGGTCTAAAAATTTTGAAAATTATAATTTATAAACATTATAAAAGTAAAGAATACGAATATTTTTTTGAATTCAAACCAATAATATTAGAAGCTAAAATTATGAAAAAAATGTAGGGAAACGTGCTTTTTTGAATATAACAAAAACATGATTCGAGTAGAAATAACGTTAAAAAACGTGTTTTCGTTCTGTTAAAATTTGTAATTTTTATTATTGTTATCTTAATTAGCACAAATTATTTGGACTGCATGATAGTAATAAATATAATAAAAACTCTAACTGAATTTAAAAGTTTTGAATAAAACAGCTAATTTGAAACAGGATTGCTTACTAAACCTTTTTACTTTTAGTAGGGTCAAAATTTCATATACGGTTTGTTTATATCAAATTCGATCGCTTTAGAATCATCATCTGTTTGATTATTGTTTAGTTGTTGCATTACTACATTGCTGTTTAATTTCATACTTTGTAAAGTCAATGCTTTACTAATTAATAGATTCAATGATCGACTGGAATAAATTGCTTGATCATTTATTTGTGTTTGTAAAACATTTGTACCTATATTTTCAGGAAATTTTATTTCTCCTCTTTCTGGTTTTTTAATAAGATCATCAAGCACATCTTCTGGAACCCTCCCTCTTTTATCTGGATCTTGATGCCAGCAGTCTTCCATTAATCTAACTAATTCTTGTGGAGCATCAATAAGATATTCATCATGGTTACGATCAGAAAATGGCCTACAGCCACTTATTACTTCCCAAATAATCATACCAAAACTATAAATGTCTGACTTTTCTGTAAACTTTTCTCCTTTTAACACCTCTGGTGCAATATACGGAATAACTCCATAGATTGAATTCTTATTTGATGTTTTATTTGCAGGCTTGCTTAATCCTAAATCTGCAATTGTTGGTCTCCTATCCAGACTAATAAGAATATTGCCACCATGAAGGTCACGGTGAATAATATTATTCATATGTAATATTCTAAGCCCCATTGAAATGTTATGTAATAGTCTTAATTTTTCTAACCAAGATAAAGAATTTACATTTTTATTGAGAAAATAATGTAGATCTCTATTATGCGAAAATTCTATAACTATTATATAATTTTTTGTTTCAGGATGCTGCGTAATGCCAAGATATTGATGGAGAGTTTTATAATTTTTTTTTTCATATTCAACATCTTCACTTTTTCTACAGGAAAAAAAATTTTTTAACTAAAATAACAAATAAAATAATAATTAATTTTTAAATTTAACCAAATTAATTATACAAATATAATATTTTCTAATATACAAACCTCATTTAAATATTCTGAATCCATTTTTTCGGAATTATTAAGTATTTTAAGAACAACATCATAATTTCCTTTCCGATTGTATCTTTGTTTCTTAGGATTCCAACGATTCATAGGCCCATCAACCCATGTTGCTTTATATATTACACTAAATCCCCCTCTAGCAAGGTATTCAACATTAGTAAATTGTTTATAGGGAATAAATTCTAATTTTGATCTATTTCTACAGTTTTTATAAAAAGTTTGCGTTGATTCGATAAAATCGTCTATTAATTTGTTTTCACTTAAGACTCGTAATGAGGCCCGATAACAATCCTTACATATAATTGAATTTTTATCATAGGGAATTTTTCTCAATTTACATTTCTTGCATATATTCCATCTTTGTTTTTTTTTGCGTCTAGAGACAAGTGAAACTGGATGTTCATTCTCTTTAACTGGTTTTGCACCACATTGTTGTTGTAAAGTATTAATTTGTTCCTCACAATGTTGAATAACTCCTGCATTATAAATGTCTAGCAAATTTGTATTAGTTTGATCTTGAGTAAAGCATGTGGTCCATTCCATAGACAGATCATGATCAGTTTGACTTTTATCATTTCGAGTATTGCCTGTGGACAATTCTATAATCGAATTGTTATAAATGCTTGGCAAATTTGTGTTAGTTTGATACTGGGTAAAATCTTCTATAAACGGATTATTATTATAAATATTTAGTAAATTTATGTCATTTTGAGTAAAACCCGCGCTCCATTCCATAGATAGATTATTATTAATATTTGGCGAACTTTCTTCGTTATACATTATGATACGTTATTATTAAAATTATATTTATGTTTTTCGAATTCAATTTATATATAGAATCCGTACTTCAATCTGGAATATTTGAACTAGTGTAGATCATTCTATGTTTAATCGCTACAGATTCGAAAATTCTGTATGAAACTTCTATGGCCAAAAGAATATATTTCTAGAATAGTATTCTAAAAATTCCACATGCAGGAGTTTTGACAAAAAAATACAGTGATACATTACACAAAAAATAATGTTCTGCAATAAATGTAATTTTGCATCGCTTTGTTGGTTTGATTGTTTTTAATTATAAGTTTCGGAATGCAATTCTCCGTATTCTTATTATTTAGTCAAATTGTTGATTAATTGTTTGAATAACTAACTTTATCTCTAAACTTTTGGTTATCATTAACGATGGGAATCTTTAATTATTAATTGTTATCATGAAATTGTTAACTTAACAGTTAATAAATCATTTTTAACAATTAATACCGCATTTTCGCGAAATAACGGGCATGGAGTTATTTAGAAAATCGTGCCTCCTAGAAGTAGCATGCATGGTTTCAAAATAACGCCCATGCGCGTCCCGAAATAACGCGCACACCATATAAGGATTTCAACTAATAATTAGATATAGCTTGCGTTTGGGTGAAATTTTATTGTTGTCTCAAAAAAACGCGCAGGTGGGAAAATACGGTAAATGAATTATCCAATATGCATAGAAAGTATCGATAGAATGTGTAATCAGCGAATCAAACCATATTTTTTATGTACTCTAATATAAAAATGATTTTGTAACGATAAAAATTAATCAATAATAGTTCTTGTAAAAATATGTCAGCATAGAATCTTCCACCACAGCTTTTGATTGATGCAATCAATGATTTTATAGAAAATCGACAAATTTTAAAAAAAACCATTGATTAGATCATTTCTACAAAGATGTTCTATGCATATTGGATAATTCATTTATTATTAAAATTTAATTTTTAATCGTTAACAATTCATAATTATTAATTAGAAATTCCCATCGCTAGTCGATATTTATTGTAGGCGTATCATTTAGTAGGGTTCCTCATTTTCTGCTGCGACAGACCCCAAATTCTGCTTTCTTTAGAATTCGGTTTATGTAATTATGTGATAATTTTTTAAAATTATACAACGAGTTTAAAAGTTTCGGTGAGCTTCAAAGGACTTAGCTGGTTCCAAAATTTCGTTAAATTACAACTTTATTTTGCATATTACCAAGCTAGTTCAACAGGGACCCGGAAGATTTTGGAGCAAAAAAATTTTTGGGCATTAACAAATATATATTTAAATAAAATTTGAAAATAGAGAGGCCCCAAATACTGATATTGTACTGTAACATAAATTTCGATTTATATTGGTCAGGTTACATGAAATCTGAATTTTTTTTTTTATAGATGCAGTGTATTTATTATTTTGATTGGTTAATCACTTATAATCACTTATATAAAAATTTTAAATGCATAATCTATCTAAATAAGCCTTGCTATAACTTTTTACCATTACAATCTAAAAAAAAATAATGAATTTATTTGTGATCCTTTAATACTATGTCGTTCTTTACAATTAATATGCCATATAAAGTTTAGTAAGAATTTAACTTTCCTTGTTGAAATATATGTATACCAACTTTCGATCAAATTTTAAAAATTTTGGCACCTTTCCTAGGTAACTCACTCACACATTGCAATTGACATTATTCAATAATGTCTCGTGCAAGAAAGCTCGCTAGATTATTACCATTGGTTGATGAACCAATAATCGATAATGAGGTATCATCAACTGACAAACTAAATGATGCTTCTAATGTAGATATTGTAGATCAAGTGAGAAAAAGTCGACCGATTCCATCACTTTTAATACAACCTGCAGGTAAATTGAAAAATTTAGGATTTTAGTAGTATTTTAGTAATAATGAATTCAAATTCTATTGATGATAATATCTTTTTTTTTTTTTTTTATCTAGGGATAATGGCAACGCTTCCAAAAATTCCACATAAGCTTACACAGCCAGAGGATCCATGATTGTTGAAAGTTGCTGTTTTAGGAATGCCAAATGCTGGAAAGTCAACTTTATTAAATGCTTTACTTGAAGAAGTGGTAATTATACTAAATTTATTATCCCACTTTAAATATTAAAGTTTATAATTGACATTTTTACGAATCCGGCAAATGCAATTCTGACAAGGCAATAATCCTGAAAAATTAGCCAGAATTATAGTTAATCCTAGCTAGTTTGTCCGGGATTATGACTTTGTCAGAATTGTGCTTTCATAATTTCCTCTTTTTTATATCAAAGATATCAGTAGTCTCTGATAAAGCTCATACAACTCGAGAAAGAATTTTAGCAGCGTTGTCTAAAGGAAATACGCAAATAGTAATTATTATAATTCATCATCCCGATTTTTCTTCATTTAATATATTAAAATGCCTTAACAACTCATTGATAAGTTGTTTTAGATACGCTAGGAACTGTTTAAACTAACAAACACTCACGTTTGAATCGTGGTTTAATTAACGCATCATGGCAATCATTGATCATGGTAGGAAGGTAAAAATAATAATATAATTGCTTTTGGTTTTAAAGCAGTTTAATAATGTGCTCTTCTCTTTCATTATTTATTTTTCAAGCCTTAGTAGTAATAGATGTACACAGAGCAGCTCATAATAGCACCTATAATGAAAGCTGCTTATTTGATAGATTAAATGATTATGAATTACCTGTTACTTTGGTATTAAATAAAGTATGATAATTTAATAATTATAAATTTATAATTTTTATATAAGATATAATTGTGAATTCATATATATCATTGTTTACGGATTGTTCAGACTGATTTGTTAGATAATAATAATCAGCTACTTCAAAATGTTTATCACAGCTTTAAAGAAAGATGTTATTATTTGAAGAATACGGTAAATATTTCTGTATTAAAAAAAACAAGAATTAGATGTGTTAAAGGTAAAATTTTTTTATTTAAATCCCGAAATAAATACATTTAATATTTTAAATCCCAAAAACTATATTGATTTATTCAAATCTTAATATGTAAAAAGAAGAATTATTTTCTTATACATATCCACAAGAATGGGTTTATCCAGTTGAAACAAAATCTGAAATGGCAGATCTGAAGAAAGTTGAGGATTTTGTACGGCAGAGTTTTTAACTTCGTTGCATAGTTACCTGCCTTATATCATTAAACAGGCATAGGTATTCTTCTTTCTTACTTAATAATCGCTAAAAAATTAGTGTAAATTTGTAGAAGAATATAGGATGGACTGTGTTCGTTACAAATAGATCAAGTTATTTATGTGGAATGTGAATTACAAGAGGTGAATTATTTTCTTTCATTAGCTATTATTGTTTCTTGTATTTTAATTAATTTAATAAAAGAGAATTGTTATAGGAAAGCAGAGATCAGTTATAAAAGCTGTTACAAGAAGAGCATGTAAAGCAATGGTTATAGCATTCAAAAGGCCCGTAAGATTGTATTTAACTGTGAAAGTAAGAAATGAAGAAAAAATTAGAAGATCCATGTGATTAATCATATTTGATTGATGAATTTAAAATGAGTTTATAATAATAATATTATTATTAAATTGCTCTTTATTGTTACATTCTATTAAAAAATAAAAAACTTTTTAAGTATTTTGACGTCTGTTAAATACTTATTATAAAATTATATTTATTTGAAATTTTAAATCGGTTTAATAATTTATACTTGTACAAATACAGTCTATTTTATTAAATACTATAATAACTTTGATTTTTTTTTACTCATTTTTGTTATAACACAAAATGTTACTAGTAAACTTGCTTCAGATATGCAATTTTAACCTTTAATTTTAACGGGTAGATTAAACCCAGTGATTATTGCGAATTGTGTCACCCTCGATATAGTCACATAATGATTTGGTTGGTCAGAAAATACAACC